CTCTTCCAGTGCTTTTTTCGGCTCATGAAACTCCGCCGTTTTGTCCTGCAGCAGCTTCAGCCGGGAATCAACCTAAAAGAAATAAACCGGCATTGCAAGCATCACGATGAAGAGAGCAGCTACAAAGAGAAGATTTGCTCCTCATCTAAAAATCAGTAGAAAAAATATACGTATCTTTGAAAGCAATAAATTTCATAAACGATCGAGAATCATCAAAAAGACGATATCTCGTTGCTGCGCGGTGTATCATTTATCGAATAAGGAAAAGCTGAATACGAAGCAAAAAATAACGGGTGGAGCAAACGAAAAATCAAAACTGATGATAAAAAACGCAAAAAAAATAAGAATTTCGCGCAAATTCTCTTATATATACATACATATAATTTGGGTAGTTTGTTGGGTATTATATTAGTTTCTTAAATTTTAACTGGTTTTTTTTGACTTTTTATTATTCTTCTTTAGATTCTTTTATAACTGTTCAGTATCTTATGTCTGAAGTTAAATTTGGTTGATTATTGCGGGTTATACATTCTAACGGGGCTTCTATATTTTTTTTTTGTGTATATATGCTCATATTTTTAAAGGTTTAGTTTATGGCAGGTATCGTTTAGTTATGGTATGGTTGAGCGGTGTTATTATATATGCACAAAAATTATATATATATGCAGAAAAATTGGGTAAAATATGTAATATATTGGAATTAGAAAATATAAAGATATGTAAAAATACCAAGACCGCCCGGGCTATCAACGTGGGTATCCCCTGTTTGTGATGCTAGTTTTCGGGGACTGCCTGAATGGCCGTTTACTTTCTATTTATAAAAATGAACAAAACGAAACGAATTAACAAAAAGATCGTGAAAAGCAGCTTAATACAAACTCCTTCAGAAGGTAACACATCCATACCTTCGCTTGCTTTTCGGCAATCTCATCATCGATTCCGCTTAAAATCTCTCGATACTCCTCGAGCTTGGCTTTCGATCTCTCTGGCAATTTTTCCAAGTCAGCAATCTGAAAACTACTGATGCAATGGATTATTCTACATTAAAAAAAGATTTACGATAAGGTATAGAAAAAGCTCAAAATCGAAGTACGTAAGTGGCGATCACTGAAAATTAGTAGTTTTCAGTAAGTAATGAGGAAAAAAGGAGAGCTAAAAATTACAAACAGAAAGAAAAAATTACGGTTAAGTACAAGTCATATAGGCAAAAAGCTAATAAAACCGCAAAATATTTAAAAGGATTCAAAAATGCCAAAAAATGAAAAGATCGTCTGAGCACCCAATGTGGCGACCCATTGTTAGTAATGTTAATAAAGTATTTCCACAAATTCGGCACAGCTCTGTTCATTCCTCAACCAAATGAGTACTGATAGTACCCCAAACTAAACTTTTACTCAAGCACAGGCGAGAAGTTGAGGTGCTTCAAAGCTTTGGTTCATACATGGACAGGAAACATCCTCATGCAATTTCAACTTCCCATTTTTTATGCGTTTTGTGCTGTGTAACAGCAGTACAAAACGCATATTGTTACGGGGTTGT